TAAACTATTTTCCCTTTCCTCAGCCATGGAAATCCTAACCTCTAAATAAAGTAAATGTCTCCCCTCCCCTCTCACCAACTTGGCTCTGTGAAGGAAGATAATGATGTACAGTCCAATAGAATTCCTTCTAATTGGTCCAGCCAAGCCTCTTCCACCTTTGTGATGTGTAACATTCTGCATAATTAATTGGTGAAGCTTTAGTAGTAATAGAAGTGCTGGAGGGCTGCAGCCAGCTCTGACACGCACCGTTAAAATACTAATCAAGCAGTGTGATAGAAAACGGAGATCTGTGCTCTGGTAGACTCTAGAAGATGAACATGAAGTCCCATCAAGGCTTCCTGCTTCCTTCCAGCCCTGTGCTGGGAGGCTACACTGCATGGCGCCCATCTCACAGGGAGAACTCTTAACCTCTTCATTACCCTTGGAGAAAGGGAGGACACTAATTAGAATGTGCAGGGCCAAATTTTCACAAGTCAGACACGTGGTGTGACATTTCACATACATTTTTCACGTGGTTTCTTAACATTTTGCATGTGATATTATTATAAGTGTTTTTGTAACTGGAGGGATTAAAACCCGGGTCTCCCATGGAAGAAATGTCAAAAGAACTGTGACCAACTTGAAATGTAAAAAAAAGAATATTTCAAACACAAAATAGAATGAGTCATGGTTGATCATGGTCACGTGATGAGGAAGCCCCAACTGCAATTTTTAAAAGATGAATAACTGATTAACTCTGACAGCGATCATTTGAACATGTTAAACGGGATCAATAAGGAGACATGGAGCGCTAGCTTCTCTGTTCTTTTCCCTGGGCTTCTTCCAACGGTCACTGACCATGAAGAAGAGAGTCGTGCGCCTGCAGCAGTAATGGACGGCTCAGAAATAATAAATAATTATTTTTAACACACTTGAATTATTATACTCAGGTAGGCTAAGTTACCTTTTTACAGAATGGCATTACATAATTTGCAATTCGATATATGGAAACATTGCTACTGCAACATGTTAACACCACCTATTTGCATGTGAGGAGAACATTATTTCCCTGCCGCATGTGAACTTGTAATTCCACATGTGAAACTGCAAATGTGATTTTTACATGTGATTGATTTTTACATGTGAAAATGCAATTCCATATGTGAAAAGTGAGATTTTCACCTGCCGTTTTCTTAAATGTGAAATTGCAATTTTAATTTTCACGTGATTGATTTTCACATGAGAGTTTTTCACATGTGAAACTTTTTAACAGTTGAAACCGGAAATTTCACATTTGCAACTGCAATCACATACTGTATGAGGTGAAAACATGTTTTTATTTTTACATGTGAAAAGGTGGTGTTAACATATGAACTCTAAAGGTTAAACTTGTGAAAACATGGTTGCATATTTGAAATTTAAGATCAACATGTGAAACTGCAAATTTGACATGTTTTATTTATTTTTTGTAAGGGAAGGTATGGCGTTATATGAGCGTCTAATGCCACGGTATAATATGAGGTGTTAACAGTGTTGGACAGAACAATCATTAAGAATTAAATGGTTGTAAAAAATTATTGGCAATATATTTGTTTTCCATATCATATGGAAGCAGACAAACGAGACAATGATTAATGCAACAGAATCCAATTAGCCTGTCAAAGTCAACGCTGTGTGTCCTGTTGTGTTATGCAGAGGTCGATTTATCAGAGGAGACTGTTGTTCTTGTAGCAGTCACTTCCAAGTGTAAATGGACAGTCTCTGGTCATACTAAAAGGACCAGTGTAGATGGACAGTCTCTGCTAGTACTAAAAGGACCAGTGTAGATGGACAGTCTCTGCTAGTACTAAAAGGACCAGTGTGGGTGGACAGTCTCTGTTAGTACTGAAAGACCAGTGTAGATGGACAGTCTCTGCTAGTACTAAAAGACCAGTGTAGATGGACAGTCTCTGCTAGTACTGAAATACCAGTGTAGATGGACAGTCTCTGCTAGTACTGAAAGACCAGTGTAGTTGGACAGTCTCTGCTAGTACTAAAAGACCAGTGTAGATGGACAGTCTCTGCTAGTACTGAAAGACCAGTGTAGATGGACAGTCTCTGGTCATACTGAAAGACCAGTGTAGATGGACAGTCTCTGCTAGTACTGAAAGACCAGTGTAGATGGACAGTCTCTGCTAGTACTGAAATACCAGTGTAGATGGACAGTCTCTGCTAGTACTGAAAGACCAGTGTAGATGGACAGTCTCTGCTAGTACTGAAAGACCAGTGTAGATGGACAGTCTCTGCTAGTACTAAAAGACCAGTGTAGATGGACAGTCTCTGCTAGTACTAAAAGACCAGTGTAGATGGACAGTCTCTGCTAGTACTGAAAGACCAGTGTAGATGGACAGTCTCTGGTCATACTGAAAGACCAGTGTAGATGGACAGTCTCTGGTCATACTGAAAGACCAGTGTAGATGGACAGTCTCTGCTAGTACTGAAAGACCAGTGTCAAAATACACTAAACGTCACAGTAATGTAATGATGGAGGGAGGCATTGAGTACCACGCTTGGTATTCTCCACCATACTAATGATGTTTAGCTCATAATTAGAGGGTATACAAGAATGAACTGGAGCCATATGCTGTACTTTCCATACATACATGTATTATGCATGTAATAAACAGTATGTATTTCCTCTCTGGAGAGAATAAAGGGGACTCATAATGTAACAAAATAATTCCATCAGTAAAATACAGCAAAATCCACAGCTTCTGGCTAAACTCACACAGATTTACCATGGCAGGGGCTGCCTTCCAAATGGCACCCGATTCAATATATAGCGCACTGCTTTTGACCGGAGCTCTGGTCAAAATGTGTGCAGTAAATAGGGATAGGGTGCCATTTGGGATGCAGACGGGGGCCGTGGATAGGATGCGGCAGGTTATAAATAGGATGGCAGGCACAGTTATACCCCCTGGTTGTGTCAACAGGACTACTGCTTCATAAGGGGTAGAGGATTCCCCCACTGACTCAATGCCAAAACACCCCCCAATGTCATGCAGTGTACTAACAGTGACATACTGGTGAAGAACAGCCAGCCAACCACTCACTACCCAGGAGGAGATAAATCGTACTGGGGAAGAGCAGCCAGTCAGCCAGTCACTACCCAGGAGGAGATAAATCATACTGGGGAAGAGCAGCCAGCCAGCCAGTCACTACCGAGCTGTCTGTTTGGAATACTGGCACACAGCTCGGACACCCATGCATACCCCACAATACATGCCACCAGAGGTCTCTTCACAGTCCCCAAGTCCAGAACAGACTATGGGAGGCGCACAGTACTACATAGAACCATGGCTACATGGAACTCTATTCAACATCAGGTAACTGATGCAAGCAGTAGGAATCAGATTTTTTTTTAAATACAGGTAAAAATACACCTTGTGGAACAACGGGGACTGTGAAGAGACACACACAAGGGTATAGACACATGCATAAGCACACATTGTGATATTGTTGTATGGTGGTATTAAACATTTTGTATTGTAGATAGGTAGTGGTGGAATAATGTCATATGATGTACTGTTTTATATGTAATGTAAGTGCTTTAATATGTTTGGACCCCAGGAAGAGTAGTTGGGATGAGGATCCATAATAAATACAAATACAAGTACCCAGGAGGAGATACATCATACTGGGGAAGAGCAGTCAGCCAGCCAGTCACTACCCAGGAGGAGATACATCATACTGGGGAAGAGCAGTCAGCCAGCCAGTCACTACCCAGGAGGAAATACATCATACTGGGGAAGAGCAGTCAGTCAGCCAGTCACTACCCAGGAGGAGATACATCATACTGGGGAAGAGCAGTCAGTCAGCCAGTCACTACCCAGGAGGAGATACATCATACTGGAGAAGAGCAGCCAGCCAGCCAGTCACTACCCAGGAGGAGATACATCATACTGGGGAAGAGCAGTCAGCCAGCCAGTCACTACCCAGGAGGAGATACATCATACTGGGGAAGAGCAGTCAGTCAGCCAGTCACTACCCAGGAGGAGATTACATCATGACTGGGGAAAGAGCAGTCAGCCAGTCACTACCCAGGAGGAGATACATCATACTGGGGAAGAGCAGTCAGCCAGTCACTACCCAGGAGGAGATACATCATACTGGGGAAGAGCAGTCAGCCAGTCACTACCCAGGAGGAGATACATCATACTGGGGAAGAGCAGTCAGTCAGCCAGTCACTACCCAGGAGGAGATACATCATACTGGGGAAGAGCAGCAGCCAGTCACTACCCAGGAGGAGATATATCATACTGGGGAAGAGCAGTCAGCCAGTCACTACCCAGGAGGAGAAGATACATCATGCCTTGCCTTCCAAGGCTCCATATGGGTGAGATAGGAATTGCTGCCTCAGAATTTGTGTGGAACTGAATGTAAAGGTGTGAAAAATATAATAATTTTTACAATAAAAAGTAATAAGAGAATATGCAGAAGAGGACCAGCCCGTGCTACTACCCAGGAGTAGGTAGATAATGGATTCCAGCACATGCTACTACCCAGGAGTAGGTAGATCATGGATTCCAGCACATGCTATTACCCAGGAGTAGGTAGATCATCGATTCCAGCACATGCTACTACCCAGGAGTAGGTAGATCATGGATTCCAGCACATGCTATTACCCAGGAGTAGGTAGATCATGGATTCCAGCACATGCTACTACCCAGGAGTAGGTAGATCATGGATTCGAGCACATGCTACTACCCAGGAGTAGGTAGATCATGGATTCCAGCACATGCTACTACCCAGGAGTAGGTAGATCATGGATTCCAGCACATGCTACTACCCAGGAGTAGGTATATCATGGTTTCCAGCACATGCTACTACCCAGAAGTAGGTAGATCATGGATTCCAGCACTTCATATAGCTAACTACAGGGGGTGAGATAGGAAATAATTGCTGCCTCAGATGTTGTGTGGAACTGAATGAGTAGTCCATATGTGCAAAGGTGTAAAAATATTAAAATAAAATACAAACATTTAAAAAAAGAGTAGCATGGAGAAGTGCAGCCAATCGTAGACAAGTGAGAGATCCTTAGACCAGCCAGTGTTGTCCTTAGACCAGCCAGTGTTGTCCTTAGACCAGCCAGTGTTGTCCTTAGACCAGCCAGTGTTGTCCTTAGACCAGCCAGTGTTGTCCTTAGACCAGCCAGTGTTGTCCTTAGACCAGCCAGTGTTGTCCTTAGACCAGCCAGTGTTGTCCTTAGACCAGCCAGTGTTGTCCTTAGACCAGCCAGTGTTGTCCTTAGACCAGCCAGTGTTAGTCCTTAGACCAGCCAGTGTTGATCCTTAGACCAGCCAGTGTTGTCCTTAGACCAGCCATTGTTGTCCTTAGACCAGCCAGTGTTATCCTTAGACCAGCCAGTGTTGTCCTTAGACCAGCCAGTGTTGTCCTTAGACCAGCCAGTGTTGTCCTTAGACCAGCCAGTGTTGTCCTTAGACCAGCCAGTGTTGTCCTTAGACCAGCCAGTGTTGTCCTTAGACCAGCCAGTGTTGTCCTTAGACCAGCCAGTGTTGTCCTTAGACCAGCCAGTGTTGTCCTTAGACCAGCCAGTGTTGTCCTTAGACCAGCCAGTGTTGTCCTTAGACCAGCCAGTCTATTGATTTTGTGCGTTTGCCACCTGACAAAGACATGATCAGTCTATAATTTTAATGGTAGGTTTATTTGAACAGTGAGAGACAGAATAACAACAAAAAAAATCCAGAAAAACGCATGTCAAAAATGTTATAAATTGATTTGCATTTTAATGAGGGAAATAAGTATTTGACCCCCTCTCAATCAGAAAGATTTCTGGCTCCCAGGTGTCTTTTATACAGGTAACGAGCTGAGATTAGGAGCACACTCTTAAAGGGAGTGCTCCTAATCTCAGCTTGTTACCTGTATAAAAGACACCTGTCCACAGAAGCAATCAATCAATCAGATTCCAAACTCTCCACCATGGCCAAGACCATAGAGCTCTCCAAGGATGTCAGGGACAAGATTGTAGACCTACACAAGGCTGGAATGGGCTACAAGACCATCGCCAAGCAGCTTGGTGAGAAGGTGACAACAGTTGGTGCAATTATTCGCAAATGGAAGAAACACAAAAGCACTGTCAATCTCCCTCGGCCTGGGGATCCATGCAAGATCTCACCTCGTGGAGTTGCATTGATCATGAGAACGGTGAGGAATCAGCCCAGAACTACACGGGAGGATCTTGTCAATGATCTCAAGGCATCTGGGACCATAGTCACCAAGAAAACAATTGGTAACACAGTACGCCGTGTAGGACTGAAATCCTGCAGCGCCCGCAAGGTCCCCCTGCTCAAGAAAGCACATATACAGGCCCGTCTGAAGTTTGTCAATGAACAAAAAAAAAAAAAAAAAAAAAAAACATCTGAATGATTCAGAGGAGAACTGGGTGAAAGTGTTGTGGTCAGATGAGACCAAAATCAAGCTCTTTGCCATCAACTCAACTCGCCGTGTTTGGAGGAGGAGGAATGCTGCCTACGACCTCAAGAACACCATCCCCACCGTCAAACATGGAGGTGGAAACATTATGCTTTGTGGGGTGTTTTTCTGCTAAGGGGACAGGACAACTTCACCGCATCAAAGGGACGATGGACGGGGCCATGTACCGTCAAATCTTGGGTGAGAACCTCCTTCCCTCAGCCAGGGTATTGAAATGGGTTGTGGATGGGTATTCCAGCATGACAATGATCCAAAACACGCGGCCAAGGCAACAAAGGAGTGGCTCAAGAAGAAGCACATTAAGGTCCTGGAGTGGCCTAGCCAGTCTCCAGACCTTAATCCCATAGAAAATCTGTGGAGGGAGCTGAAGGTTCGAGTTGCCAAACGTCAGCCTCGAAACCTTAATGACTTGGAGAAGATCTGCAAAGAGGAGTTGGACAAAATCCCTCCTGAGATGTGTGCAAACCTGGTGGCCAACTGCAAGAAACGTCTGACCTCTGTGATTGCCAACAAGGGTTTTGCCACCAAGTACTAAGTCATGTTTTGCAGAGGGGTCAAATACTTATTTCCCTCATTAAAATGCAAATCAATTTATAACATTTTTGACATGCGTTTTTCTGGATTTTGCTGTTGTTATTCTGTCTCTCACTGTTCAAATAAACCTACCATTAAAATTATAGACTGATCAGGTCTTTGTCAGTGGGCAAACGTACAAATCAGCAGGGGATCAACTACTTTTTTCCCTCACTGTAAATAGTTAAATAAAGTCCACCTGTGTGCAATCTAAGTGTCACATGATATCAGTATATATACATCTGTTCTGAAAGGCCTCAGAGTCTGCAACACCACTAAGCAAGTGGCACCACCAAGCAAGCGGCACCATGAAGACCAAGGAGCTCTCCAAACAGGTCAGGGACAAAGTTGTGGAGAAGTTCCCCCCGAATACCTCGATTTGGCGCACGCGTTTTCCAAATGACCACCTCATCGGGTGGGGGATTGCGCGATAAACCTCCGGGTAGACGCTGTGCCTCCCAGGAGTCATGTGTATCCCCTGTCGCAGGCTGAAACGGAGGCGATGGAGACATACGTCTCCGAGTCCCTGCGCCAGGGGTTCATACGTCTCTCCACTTCGCCCGCCTCCTCGAGTTTGGCAAGGTCGCAGCTTCCATCACATCTCTGTTGAAGGGTGGGCTGTCCCGGCTCCGCTGGTCTGCTGAGGCTGACAGGGCCTTCAGTAACCTGAGGGCTCTGTTCACCTCAGCCCCGGTACTGGCCCATCCCGATCCATCACTACCGTTCGTAGCGGAGGTGGATACGTCCGAGGTAGGGATAGGCGCTGTCCTATCTCAACGCTCGGGCACGCCACCCAAGCTCCGCCCCTGTGCCTTCTTCTCCAAGAAGCTCACACACCTGTTTCATATCCCCTTATCAGTACCTGTATAAGTGTTCCCTCTGCCCCCTTGTCTTTGTGTGTGATTGTTTATTGTGGAGGAAAGTGAAGCTCGGTGGAGCTCCGTGTATTTTGTATCGACAGGATATTTCCCTGTGTGCCTTGTATTTTCCAGTGCGCCTGTTTTGCGCACTGAAGTGATTTTGACGCATTACTGCGTAACTCTGTGGTTCAGAATAAATCTTGTTATTCTGTGATTTACCCTCCAGCGCCTGACTCCTTCGACATCACCTCATCACATTGCTGCAAAAGATGGCTTCACAAAGTATTGACTTTGGGGGGGTGAATAGTTATGCACGCTCAAGTTTTCTGTTTTTTTTTGTCTTATTTCTTGTTTGTTTTGGGAGAGCTATAATGCATGTCAACCTATTGTTGCATTAATAGGATATGAAGACGATGTCAACCAGAAGAAGATCTGTTTATTTTCTTGGAGGAGAGAAGGGGTCATTTTCAATGGAAAATTACAACATATAAGACAAACGAGGGATGTTTGATTTAGTCAATCCAATCAATAGGACTGCAAAAGCAATGATTTACAGATACTGTATATACTGAACATGTACTCCATCTGTAGATAAATACTGAATATGTACTCCATCTGTAGATAACTACTGAATATGTAATCTATCTGTAGATAAATACTGAACATGTAATCTATCTGTAGATAAATACTGAACATGTAATCTATCTGTAGATAAATACTGAACATGTAATATATCTGTAGATAACTACTGAACATGTACTCCATCTGTAGATAAATACTGAACATGTAATATATCTGTAGATAACTACTGAACATGTACTCCATCTGTAGATAAATACTGAACATGTAATCTATCTGTAGATAAATACTGAACATGTAATATATCTGTAGATAAATACTGAACATGTAATCTATCTGTAGATAAATACTGAACATGTACTCCATCTGTAGATAAATACTGAACATGTAATCTATCTGTAGATAAATACTGAACATGTAATCTATCTGTAGATAACTACTGAATATGTAATCTATCTGTAGATAAATACTGAACATGTAATCTATCTGTAGATAACTACTGAATATGTAATCTATCTGTAGATAACTACTGAATATGTAATCTATCTGTAGATACATACTGAACATGTAATCTATCTGTAGATAAATACTGAACATGTAGTCCATCTGTAGTTATTGAATATACACTGCAAACATAGTTATCTGATCCAAAATACAAACACTGTTGATGATGTCATTAAGGTGATGGACAGCAGGTGCAGGGTTCCTTGTTGGTCCTGGGTGGCCTTTGGGTTTAGAACCAATGTAACGTGTTTCTGTGTACAAAGTAGCATAGGATAGATTAGAGGGATGGAATATGAAAGATTAGAAGAATAGAGGGATGGAGGGATGGAGGGATGGAGGGATGGAAGGGGGGTCACCAGATCGATAAGATTATCTATCAGCCATTCCAGTCTTCATATCATTGGCCAGTTAATCTTATTTCCCCATGACATTTGTCAATGAAGGGCAGTATTTTCCTTTCAGACAAGACTACCCCTTTACCCTGTCATCTCCCTAATCCCATGGGAGACCCCTGCCTTGGTTCCTGAGTGTACTGCAATATATTGGATGGATTGGAATATCCATACAATTAGCCCCAAGTCAAAGTTTGAATTAGCATCCGTCATGGGCAGGTGTGCTGACTCAAGGAGTGTTCACAGTTTTCCTGCTGCAATCGAGGTGCTGCCAGAAATGTCACACAGGAAAATATAACAGACGTTTGGCTATGTACCAAATGGCATCCTATACCCTACATAGGGCACTACTTTTGACAAGAGCCCATTGGAGCCCATTGGAGCCCATAGGGCTCTGGTCAAACTAGTGCATTAATAGGAAATAGGGTGCCGCTTGCGACGCAGCCTTTATCCAAGGCTTGTACAGCTGCAATTTCACTTAGGCTAACAGGTTAAATATGAGGGTGGTAATACCTGAGAAAGTCTATCATCTCTATATTCCAAACAGCCAAACGTCTCCCCTCCCTCCGCTGGTTTCTACTGGACGTAATGGAGCGTCACAGTGATGTTAAAGGCCCAATCTGCAGTTGCTACATCCATTTTTGGACTTATAAATGAATGATATGTACCCATTGATTCTTGGAGAATATAACTTATAAAATGCCTCATGAGCAACTGTCGTACCCCAATCAGAAACCAAAATATAAGCTTGTTTTACTCCAATGTTTTCCAAACGAAGTAAATGTAAACAAACACTGTAAGGTTTTAGTAGCATCCAGGTATGAAACACAGTATTCTGATAGGGAAAGGACAAATTACTTAATGTCCTTCATGCTGTAGAAACAAACTGTCTGTTGATACTCATACGACACATAGAGTCCACAAGTGATTTTCTTTAGATAATAATCCACAATGGAAAGGTCGAAGGAAAACCAAACAAGCCTCTGACGCTGATGTTGTCGACGTCCCATTAGCTGGTGGCTGAATTGATACCAACTCCCCCTGTAGGTGTAACAGAGAACAAACTCGCTGAGGATAATACAGTAGTGGAAGAATGGAGATATTAGATATACAGCGTACAGCGTTTAATCAGTTTGCTCAGCTTTTGGTCCAGGATCAGAATATATACAGAGCCTTTCTGTTTGATGAAGATCAACTCTCATCTTGCGTTCAGTCCACACGTTTGAACTTGAGTGAAACGGTATATCAGGCATCAAACTGTGAAGGCATTACCTGGGCATGTGTAACTCTGTGTTGTTGTTGTTGTTGTTTTTTATCGCACTGCTTTGCTTTATCTTGGCCAGGTCGCAGTTGTAAATGAGAACTTGTTCTCAACTGGCTTAAACCTGGTTAAATAAAGGTGAAATATATATATATATATATAAAATATATGCATCTACGCATCATAATATCTTTACTCTCCTTAGTAATAACAGAGTTTTTACTCATTTAATTTATCTCCTCATTCTTACTTTCCCATTCTTTCATAATTCAGCTACATTTTAGTGTTCAGAAAGCAGACCTCCCTCTCTGTGATTTGATCAATATAAAAAGCTATTAGCATTCATGCCGTCATATGAGGCCCCTCTAAGACATCAGCATCAGAGTAACAGTGGAGATAATGCGTTTTCCCTGAAAGAGTCTAGATAACGCTGTAAGTCTCCTCCGTACACTACCTATCAATACAATGACATTGTAAGTGTAGTGCAATTGCTTTGGCATCAGGGGGAGAGCTAATTACTTTTAAAAAGCCGGGACCAGAACAGCAGTCAGATACATTGTAGTATATGTAGTTCATTAACAACTGTGTCATGACTTGACAACATTTTTGCCTCCCATCAAATTATCATTTTTTTTTCATTGCACATCAGAAAAAGAGGAAATCCCCTTTGCAAAGTGATACAAACAAAACAGCTACTGAGACCAGAACAAATATTGTATGAGGAAAACAAACAAACAACAAACAGCATGCATCAGTATATTCCATCTTCTTTAAGGTGCACCCATAGTTTTCCTCGTCCTCTACGAAATAAAAGTACATCCGTTTGTGTGATAGTGAAATGCCAGTGAGCAGGGAAGAGAGGGAGGAGGGAGGGATGGAGGGCAGGGAGTGGAGGGAGGGGGGATGGGGGGAGGGTGGAGGGAGGGAGGGAGGGGCAGGGTATGGAGGGTCTTGCTTTCGGGAGGCCTTTTGTTCTTCTCTTGAGGGAGTGCTTTGAGGGAGGGAGGGATTCTGGCCTTTCTATGAGTTGCTTTCGTTCGTAGAGGGGAGGGAGGGAGGGAGGAGGGAGGAGGAGGGAGGGGGTCAGGAGGAGGAGAGAATGCACCTGAGAGGCCCAGTGATTTATTGCTACCCTGTTCTAAAACCAAGTCGCCTTGCTGGCTGCTTTAATTAGGAAACACTGTGGAGGCAACTGAGAGCACCAGGAACCCTTAAATATCCTACCTCAACCAGCCTTGATGTGCAGAGCACTGCAGCACTCAGCTACATTAAGAAGATATCACCACTACACATACTGTAGATATACCACTATATCCATGGATGGACAGCTGTATTCATCATGTAAATATAATATACCACATACTCCACCAGCATTGATGCGCAGAGGACTGCAGCATTCAGCTACATTTAGAGGATATCATCACTATATCTGCTGTACTATATATACAGTTATATCTACCATAGAATATAGTTATATCTACCATAGAATACAGTTATATGTACCATAGAATACAGTTATATCTACCATAGAAAACCGTTATATCTACCATAGAATATAGTTATATCTACCATAGAATACAGTTATATCTACCATAGAATACAGTTATATCTACCATAGAATACAGTTATATCTACCATAGAATACAGTTATATCTACCATAGATACAGTTATATCTACCATAGAATACAGTTATATCTACCATAGAATACAGTTATATCTACCATAGAATACAGTTATATCTACCATAGAATACAGTTATATCTACCATAGAATATAGTTATATCTACCATAGAATACAGTTATATCTACCATAGAATACAGTTATATCTACCATAGAATACAGTTATATCTACCATAGAATATAGTTATATATACCATAGAATACAGTTATATCTACCATAGAATATAGTTATATCTACCATAGAATATAGTTATATCTACCATAGAATACAGTTATATCTACCATAAATATAGTTATATCTACCATAGAATACAGTTATATCTACCATAGAATACAGTTATATCTACCATAGAATACAGTTATATCTACCATAGAATATAGTTATATATACCATAGAAAACCATTATATCTACCATAGAATACAGTTATATCTACCATAGAATATAGTTATATCTACCATAGAATACAGTTATATCTACCATAGAATACAATTATATCTACCATAGAATACAGTTATATCTACCATAGAATATAGTTATATATACCATAGAATACAGTTATATCTACCATAGAATATAGTTATATCTACCATAGAATATAGTTATATCTACCATAGAATACAGTTATATCTACCATAGAATATAGTTATATCTACCATAGAATACAGTTATATCTACCATAGAATACAGTTATATCTACCATAGAATACAGTTATATCTACCATAGAATATAGTTATATATACCATAGAAAACCATTATATCTACCATAGAATACAGTTATATCTACCATAGAATATAGTTATATCTACCATAGAATACAGTTATATCTACCATAGAATACAGTTATATCTACCATAGAAAACCATTATATCTACCATAGAATACAGTTATATCTACCATAGAATATAGTTATATCTACCATAGAATACAGTTATATCTACCATAGAATACAGTTATATCTACCATAGAAAACCGTTATATCTACCATAGAATACAGTTATATCTACCATAGAATATAGTTATATCTACCATAGAATACAGTTATATCTACCATAGAATACATTTATATCTACCATAGAATACAGTTATATCTACCATAGAATACAGTTATATCTACCATAGAATACAGTTATATCTACCATAGAATACAGTTATATCTACCATAGAATACAGTTATATCTACCATAGAATATAGTTATATCTACCATAGAATACAGTTATATCTACCATAGAATACAGTTATATCTACCATAGAATACTGTTATATCTACCATAGAATATAGTTATATATACCATAGAATACAGTTATATCTACCATAGAATATAGTTATATCTACCATAGAATATAGTTATATCTACCATAGAATACAGTTATATCTACCATAGAATATAGTTATATCTACCATATAATACAGTTATATCTACCATAGAATACAAGTTATATCTAACCATAGAATACAGTTATATCTACCATAGAATATAGTTATATATACCATAGAAAACCATTATATCTACCAATAGATACAGTTATATCTACCATAGAATATAGTTATATCTACCATAGAATACAGTTATATCTACCATAGAATACAGTTTATCTACCATTAGAATACAGTTATATCTACCATAGAATATAGTTATATATACCATAGAATACCAGTTATATCTACCATAGAATATAGTTATATCTACCATAGAATATAGTTATATCTACCATAGAAATACAGTTATATCTACCATAGAATATAGTTATATCTACCATAGAAAACCGTTATATCTACCATAGAATACAGTTATATCTACCATAGAATATAGTTATATCTACCATAGAATACAAGTTATATCTACCATAGAATACAGTTATATCTACCATAGAAAACCGTTATTCTACCATTAGAATACAGTTATATCTACCATAGAATATAGGTATATCTACCATAGGAATACAGTTTATATCTACCATAGAATACATGGGATATCTACCATAGAATACAGGTTTATTACCATAGGAATATAGTTAATAATTACTACTAGAAAACCATTAATTACCATAGAATACAGTTATATTCTACCATAGAATATAGTTCTATCTACCATAGAATACAGTTTATATCTACCCATAGATACAGTATATCTAACATAGAACCATTATATCTACCATAGAATACAGTTATATATAACAGAGAATACCGTTATATCTACCATAGAAACCGTTAGATCTTCACCATAGAATACAGTATTCACCATAGAATATAGTTATATCTACACAGAGAATACAGGTTTATATCTACCATAGAAATTACATATATCTGACCAAGAATACACGTTATATCTTACCATAGACATACAGTTATATCTACCATAGAATACAGTTATATCTACCATAGAATATAGTTATATCTACCATAGAATACAGTTATATCTACCATAGAATATAGTTATATCTACCATAGAATACAGTTATAACTATCATAGAATACCATTATATCTACCATAGAATACAGTTATATCTACCATAGAATACAGTTATATCTACCATAGAAAACCGTTATATCTACCATAGAATACAGTTATATCTACCATAGAATACAGTTATATCTACCATAGAAAACCGTTATATCTACCATAGAATACAGTTATAACTATCATAGAATACCATTATATCTAACATAGAATACAGTTATATCTACCATTGAATATAGTTATATCTACCATAGAATACAGTTATATCTACCATAGAATACAGTTATATCTACCATAGAATATAGTTATATATACCATAGAATACAGTTATATCTAGGATAGAATACAGTTATATATACCATAGAATACAGTTATATCTAGGATAGAATACAGTTATATCTACCATAGAATACAGTTGTATCTACCAATTAGGGTTCACATTTCACACCCTTATCAGTGTGGAAATACTTGGGCACCCAACATAACAGTCAGAAATATGAATATCAGTGCAGCCCAAGGGTACACCCAAAAGTCCATTTGTAATTGCAACTCTGCATTATGATACTTGCAGCAACAAGCAACAAGTGAAATGTACCGCCTCATCTGTGTGTACTGCGAGTTCCAATTAAAAGTGCTTGAAAAATGACTTGTATCGTCATTAGCACAGTTGTACTATGTGCACAATGACCAATGCTTTCAGCGGGCCCCCTTGATATGGTGAATAGCCTAGACTAGTAAAATGACTCAGAATCTGGATGTTCTATCCCATACATACCAATAGCTGACCCCATTCTTATTCGTTGCCTGTGCAATTGATAAGTCAAGGACAAACATATTTATGCAGCAGGAGAAAATCATTCATTTAAAGCAAGGAGGCTGTGGTTACAGCTCAGTGGGTTTAATTCATGTTTCATACCATCTAACAGGATGGAGGGTTTAATGAGGGTTTGCACCATCTAACAGGACGGAGGGTTTAATGAGGGTTTATACCATCTAACAGGATGGAGGGTTTAATGAGGGTTTACACCATCTAACAGGACGGAGGGTTTAATGAGGGTTTATACCATCTAACAGGACGGAGGGTTTAATGAGGGTTTATACCATCTAACAGGACGGAGGGTTTAATGAGGGTTTAATGAGGGTTTACACCATCTAACGACGAGGGTTTAAGGAGGGGTTTACCCCAGGATGGAGTTTAATGAGGGTTTACACCATCTAACAGGACGGAGGGTTTAATGGATGGGTTTCTGACACATGTCTAACATGGACGGAGGGTATAATGAGGGTTTTGCACCAAGCTAAACAGGAACGGAGGTGTTATAATGAGGGTTATGACCATCTAATAGGACGGAGGGTATATGAGGGTTTTATACCATCTAATAGGAAGGAGGGTATTAATGAGGGTTTATCACCCATCTAATACGGACGGAGGGTTTAATGAGGGTTTATACCATCTAACAAGGACGAGGTTTAATGAGGGTTTATGAGGGTTTTATACCATCTAACAGGACGGAGGTTTTTAATGGAGGGTTTAATGAGGGTTTGCACCATCAAACGGGAAACGGAGGGTTTAATGAGGGTTTACACCATCTAACAGGACGGAGGGTTTAATGAGGTTTTATACCATCTAACAGGAGGGAAAGGGTTTAAATGGGGTTAACACCATCTAACAGGACAGAGGGTTTAATGAGGGTTTACACCATCTAAAAAGGACAGGGTTAATGAGGGTTTAAAACCATCTAAACAGTATGGAGGGTTTTAATGAGGGTTTGCACCATCTGACAGACGGAGGGTTTAATGAGGGTTTTAACACTAACTAACAGACGGAGGGTAAATGAGGGTTTTACCACTAATAGGACGGAGGTTTAATGAGGGTTTATACCATCTAACGGGACGGGGGTTATGAGGGTTTATACCATCTAACGGACGGAGGGTTTAATGAGGGTTTAAAACCATCTGACAGGACGGAGGGTTTAATTAGGGTTTACACCATATAACGGGAACAGGGGGTTTTTAATGAGGGTTTACAACCATCTAACAGGACAGAGGGTTTAATGAAGGGTTTACACCCATCTAACGGACGGAGGGTTTAATGAGGGTTTATACCATCTACAGGACGGAGGGTTTAATGAGGTTTATACCATTTTAACAGGCGGAGGGTTTTTAATGAGGGTTTACAACCATTAACAGGATGGAGGGTTTAATGAGGGTTTAAATACCATCTAATAG